TGCACCAGTCTACACTCCCATCAGCAGTGGAGCAGGGTTCCTCTTTACCCACAGCCCCACCAGCATTTGTCATTGGTTGATTTCATAATAGCAGCCATTCTTTCTGGAGTGAGGTGGAATCTCAGCATTGTTTTCATTTGCATCTCTCCAATAATGAGTGATGTTGAACACTTTTTCATATGTTTATTTACTATTTCTACTTCTTTGTCTGAGAAATGTCTGCTCATTTCAGATGCTCATTTTTGGTGGGTCTTTAAATTTGGGAGGTCTGATCATTTTAAATTCTTTATAGATTCAAGATAGTAGGCCTTTGTCTGAGGAAGAGTAGGTGAAGATTTTTTCTCACATTTTGGGTTGTCTCTTCACACTGCTGGTGGTTTCTCTTGCTGTGCAAAAGCCTTTTAATAAGAAGAGATCCCACTTGTTGATTGTTTGTGCTAGTTCATGGGCAACTGAGGTTTTGTTCATGAAATCTTTTCCTACATCAATGTCTTCAAGAGTTCTACCTAACCTCTGTTCCAGGTGATTCAGTGTTTCTGTTTAAATATTTAGATCCTTAATCCATTTTGATTTTAGTTTAGTGCATGGTGAGAGATATAGGTCTAGTTATAATCTTTGCCAAGTTGAAACCCAATTTTTGCAGCACCATTTATTAAAGGGGCTATCTTTCCTCCAGTGAGGGTGTTTGGCTCCTTTATCGAAGATGAGATGACTAAGTGTGTCTGGAGTTGTTTCTGCATCTTCTAATCTGTTCCACTGGTCCTTGGGTCTGTTTCTTTGCCAGTCCCATGCTGTTTTTATCACAGTAGCTTTGTAGTATATTTCAAGTTGGAGACTGTGATACCCCCTGCCATGTCTCTGTTACCTACAAATGCTTTTGCTATTCTGGGTCTTTTCTTGTTCTAAATGAATTTTGGGATTGTTTTCTCAGGTTCTGTGACATATGCTCCTGGAATTTCAATTTGGATTGCATTGAATCTATATAGCAGTTTTAGAAGTATGGTCATTTTTACTGTATTGATCTTTCCTACCCAGGAACAGGGGATGTCTTTCCATTTTCTGATATCGTCTTCAATCTCTCTTTACAGAGTGCTGTAGTTTTCAGAGAAGAGGTCTTTGATTTCTTTTGTTAGGTTGATTCCTAGGCATTTCAGTTTTTTGGATGCTATTGTGCAAGGAATTGTTTGCCCTATTTCTCTCTCAGTGAGTCTGTCATTGGTGTAGAGGAAAGCTATTGATTTTTGTGG